CCACGTTTCTGTAATCCCCACTATGTCCAGGCTGGTGTCAGGCAGCAGGAGGGTGAGTTTCTCCTGCTGTATTGCTGACAAGTGCTTTCAAAACAGGTTGGAGAAATTACACAGGTGCAACAACTTCCCAAACTAGCCATCGGTGTCCCCCTGCTTTACCTGTGGCAGGTTAGGGTGCTGCACTTCACAGTTGTGCAACGGGGCTGCCTGCGCAGTTTTAGCAATAGGCGAGACCAGGATTTGCTCAGATTTCCTCTCACAAGGTTTCCCTGGGAATTCCCAGCTGGGAAAGGAAAAACCCTCAGCTCTGCAAGCTTGCAGCGAACAAAAGAGGGGCAGCTTCCGCTTCTGCCGTAACACCATTGAGTCCGTGCCGCTACGCAAGCAGATAATTTGGCTTGGCCAGGGATGAGACTGTCTCAGGCAGGAGGCTGGACTAGCTGACTTGCTGCGGTCCCTTCCAGCCCTCCTCTCCTAAACGGACACAAGGAAGTTCTTTCTCACCCAGCACGTAATTAATTTAAGCAAGGACTTCATTGCCACCAGGTGTCCCGGATGAGTTTAGCCAGACTCACAAAGGGATAGGACACAGCCCTGGGGGAAAGGGCCGAGCACAGGGGTGAGGGGCGCAGCCTCTGAATCAGAGCTTTCTAGGCCGGACATGAATTATTTTCAAATACATTTTTCGTGTCCCAAGCCAAATCAAGTCCAAATCCATGAGGCAGTCCAGAACCATAAGCGGACCTAAAAACAACAAACATCCTCCACCCCCATCCAGGGCTGCAGATATTTCCAAAGCCTTTTGGCGGGCGTCCTACCTGCAGGCTGGCGGTCCGCCTGCCCTCAGCCACACGGCCATAGGAGCCAGCTAGGGAGGGGCCTCCCATTTCCATCAAGTGGGCTTTAAGCCCCCGCACCTCGGCGGGAGGTTACGGCTCCGAGCCGGTGTGAGGGCAGCGGAGATGTCACGGCAGTGAGGTCACGGCCTCCGGCGGTGATATCATAGGGACTCCGCGCAGGCCCGGTCGGGCTGGCGCATGCGCGGTGCGGACCCGGCCGGCCGGGCCGATGAGCGCGGCGGGCAGCGCGGCGG